ACCTGTCTCAATGAACAATACAGAAATCTACAGCTACAATTCCAGAAAAAGACAAACTGAACACAGCCAAGACTTGTCACTCAGGTTCTTATACTTTCTAATCTCATTTTTTCTCTCTGGATCACAGGGAAAATTAAGGTCTTCACTCCGCTTTTCCATACATAGGTCAAAAGGCCTAAATAACTTAAGTTTCACAGAGTTCCACATGGGGAGATGTAGAGTTGATGTAGTCACTGCTGCATATAATCAGGGACCCAAAACACTTTACACCGTCCCTTATCTGTGCTCTGCAGGACAGGTCCATGCCTAAGTCCACCTGAGAAGCTCCCTGGTTACTCAGAAGTCTTATCTACCAAAGGCAAGATGCCAGAAAATGGAAGTTACATGATTAGTACATTTAAAGATAATGGGGGGGGGCTTCCCTCGAGGCGCAGTGGTTAAGGATCCACCTGCCAATGCAAGGGACAGGGTTCGATCCCTGGTCCGGGAAGATCCCACATGCCGCGGAGCAACTAAGCACGTGTGCCACAACTACTGAGCCTGTGCTCTAGAGCCCGTGAGCCACAACTACTGAGCCCGTGTCCCAGAAGCCACCACAAGGAGAAGCCTGCACACCACAATGAAGAGTAGCCCCCGCTCACTGCAACCAGAGAAAGCCCACGTGCAGCAAGGAAGACCCAATGCAGCCAAAAATAAATAAATTTATTAAAAAAGATAATGTGAAGGACTTCCTTGTTGGTCCAGTGTTAAGAATCCGTCTTGCAATGCAGGAGACGCCAGTTAGATCCCTGGTCAGGGAACTAAGATCCCACATGCCACAGGGCAATTAAGCCCAAGCGCCACAACTAGAGAGCCTAAGTGCCGCAACTACAGAGCCCACGCGCTCTGGAGCCCACATGCCACAACTAGAGAAAAGCCCGCACGCCTCAATGAAGATCTCGCGTGCCACAACTAAGACCCAATGCAGCCAAAAAATAAATAAATATTTAAAAAAAGAAAAAATATATAATGTGATTATTCTGGACAGTCTACAGAGGCATAAAATAAACTTTAACACCTGCAATTTACAAGATAAATTCACTATTCAAGTTCTCATGGAGTCATAAGCATGAAACAAAAACCAATCAAATCAAAATCTTAGATCAGCAGCAGAGCAACTAAGCCCGTGCGCCACAACTACTGAGCCTGTGCTCTAGAGCCCGTGTGCTGCAACTACTGAAGCCCATGCACCTGGAGCCCTGGCTCTGCAACAAGAGAAGCCACCGCAATGAGAAGCCCGTGCACCATAACAAAGAGTAGCCCCTGCTCGCCACAACTAGAGAAAGCCTGTAAGCAGCAACGAAGACCCAACGTAGCCAGAAAAAAATAAAAATAAACTTCCATTTCTTTAAAAAAAAAAAACCAAAAAACTTAGATCAAATCTAAGATCAAAAAGATAAAAGGTGCCTCTGCACTGTTCTAGTGTTAATTCCAGTGTTTCTCCTTCAAAACAGCATATCTACATTTGTTTAAAATCCGTCTTCATTAGAAGCTCCGGATGGAACAGATGGTGTCTTCCTGGTTCAGTTATATTCCCCCAGAATTACAGTGGGCAGAGGAATACCCCTACTTTGGTTGTTAGCTAGAATTAATCCCTTCTTTCCAACAGGCTTCATTCCTACTAGAGAAATCTGATGGGCAGGAAAAGAGAAAATAGGCATTAACTTATATTCTACTGGAGAACTCTGTTCACAGCAAATATACCATGCAGGAAACAGCCATCTGTAAGATGAGGACAGGTGGATCTTGAACAATTTTTTAAATTTATTTTTTAAAGTACAGAAACCCTCTGTACTTAAAAAATCTTAGAGAGACCCTGATATATAACACAGTGAAAAACAGAGTTGCTTTGATTAAAAGCAAGAGAGGGAACCCAGAATCTTGCATCCTCAGCTACCTCCTGGGAAATGTTAGGGCACTGTAGAGCAGTCTGAACCCTATTATGTCTAGGGTTCTGTTCAATTCTAAAATGCAATGATTCTAATTTATCATTTTCAAGTTAACTGTAAGACTCCACTAAAACGTGCCTAGCTCATCTACAGATCTAAATTTATAGTGGGTCAAATATAGCAATGAATATTTTTCTTATCAGAATGCTACAGTCAGAAAGCCAAAGTCTCCTAATCTTACCTCCTAGCCTCATCTCAATAGGGATGAGGCATCAGCTCCTATGAAAAACCAGAGATGGGAAAGGAAAACTGCCTCCCTGCATAGAGAATACACCTGAAGACATGCTGTCAGTGAAACCACACAAAACTTACACTGAGGAGGGCAGCATCACTGTTCTAAAACAAAAAGAAGCAGAGATTGAATCTGGGTATGGTTGAAAAGGCACCAAGGTAGATCTGGGTTCCTCATATCTCCACCTCCAGCTAGTTTAAACAACCCATTCGATTTGTCTCAAGATAAGTTTTTTTCATACAACGAATAAGGATATCTAAGGTCTTTTCCAGCTCTAGATTTCTATGATGCTAAACTAACATCATGTTTTATTAAGTACATACAGTGTTTTAAAGCTATTATTTGGGGTATTTGTTCTAACTTGAAAGAAGCTATCTTCATCAATCAACATATGTGGCTCAAAACTAATATCCAATCAAAAAAGAAAACTTACTGAAATCATAAACTAGTCTTCCACTTTAGTTTTTACTTTGCAAGATTTAGGTTTCACAGTAGCAGAACAGCTCAACCATCTTTGGGCACTAAAGCCTCTAATCAAGGCAGGCATCGTTCAAAACAACTCTGGTGGGACTTCTCTGGCGGAGCAGTGGTTAAGAATCCACCTGCCAATGCAAGAGACACGGGTTCGATCCCTGGTCCGGGAAGATCCCACATGCTGCAGAGCGACTAAGCCCATGCGCCACAACTACTGAGCCTGAGCTCTACAGCCCGTGTGCCACAACTACTGAAGCCCACGCAACTAGAGCCCGTGCTCCGCAACAAGAGAAGCCACCGCAATGAGAAGCCTGCACACCGCAACGAAGAGTCGCCCCTGCTTGCCGCAACTAGAAAAAGCCCACGCACAGCAACGAAGACCCAACGCAGCCAAAAAATAAATAAATTAATTTAAAAAACAAAAAACAATTCTGGTAATTCCCTCGTGGTCCAGTGGTTAGGACTTGGTGCTTTCACTGCAGTGGGCCCGGGTTCAATCCCTGGTCGAGGAACTAAGATCCTGCAAGCCACACAGTGCAGCCAAAAGACAAAACAAAACAATTCTCTTTGAGAAAGGAATTGCAAATGGAAGCAAAATTAATGTGATAACTATTCTCTACTGGGTGTCAGCTGGCTTGTTCCAAGAATGCTATTTTCACACTCCAGCCCAGTGCTAACAGAGTCTGCAATAAATGTCAAGAGTCACAACTGTCATGTGCACAGCACTGTGTTGGTTGTTGCCATCATCTGAACTTAAATGAAAACATGAGGCTAGAAACTTGTTTTCCTTACCCTCCAAACTCTAAGTGGGAAAAAGTGGTGTGACCTAGACAATATACATTTCATTTCTTATCAAAACCAGGACACAATTAAGTCACAACATGATCTCTTAAAAACACACATTTTTCAGTCAAACCTGTAAGACCTAACTAACCCTACTTTGCATCTATAATTCAGAATGTAAAAGAAAAATTTCAAATCCAGTAACATCAGAGACTACTTCAAATAAATTCCAGCTCACTGTACAGGCTAATACTCCCACTTAAAGGGCAGCTCCCCCACCTCAGTGTATAAACATGACCCAAAGGAAACAAAATTTAGAGATTTCAGTTTACAAGAATATACTTTTGCACCTTCTCTGCTAACTTGTGCTCACAAAACTTCAGCCTGTGCTTATGAAATTTAGCTACTTACGTTCAAGTTACCATATCTGAAAGGCTCTGAAAGATTGGAAAGCATGCTACTTCTACACTAGCTTTTATGCTGAACCACTAGCTCTGCATAACTCAGAAAGGAAGAAGAAAAGAAGGGAGGGAGGGAAGGAGAAAGAGAGGAGATAAGGGACAAAGCTGTGAGTGCTAAAGACAGGAATAAATACAATGCAACGGCTGGCGAGAGGTGGGCTACCAAGGATAACTATCCACCCGTAAAAGGCAAAATTTTATTCCTCAGGAGGAACTGGCTTCTTGTCTATAAAATGCATTAAACAGAGGGCTTTCCTGGTGGCGCAGTGGTTGAGAGTCCGCCTGCCGATGCAGGGGACACGGGTTCATGCCCCAGTCCGGGAAGATCCCACACGCCACGGAGCAGCTGGGCCCGTGAGCCATGGCCGCTGAGCCTGCGCGTCCGGAGCCTGTGCTCCGCAATGGGAGAGGCCACAACAGTGAGAGGCCCGTGTACCGCAAAAAAAAAAAAAAATGCATTAAACAACAAAGACCAAGTAAACCTGCTGCTCCTGGGAATTAATACTTTTGGGTATGTATCTCTTCATACCTATACACTTTACCATTCCTCCTGAATTACTTGATGAATACAATCAATCAATGGTAAGAAACCCCATACCCCCTAAAGTAAAAACATTACATTTTTATAAGAAAATTAGTTTAAGTATTTTCATAGACACCACTTACTGTACTCAAATCTGTGTGAGCCCACCTTGTTTTAGATAATGATAAACAGAAAGAAAGAAACGGATTAGAACACAGAAGATGAGAAAAAATATTTTAGGTTAATTCCTGTGAATTCAGGTAGTGTTATTAAAGTAGTCAAAGTATGGTTTAGTAGATCAATCAGAACATTCAGTTATACAGTTTTAAGCTTACTCATTCCAAAATAGGTTTTCCATAAAAAAGAGAAAACCTGACATTAAATGCCAAAATCAGTACTTAATGGTAAAGTACCATTCGACATCTATAACAACATCACAATGCTGTTGCTTGTATTCAGCATTCCTACAAAGCTCTAAGAGGTCTGAAAGGGAGACCCTGTAGCAGATCTCTTCTTTCTACATTTTACACGTTATGTACCTCCAAAGCCAAGGCTGTCTTGTCGTAGGCATTAGGGACTCGCTTCTGGATTACCCTGGCATAAATGGGCCCATTCTGGAGGTTAGGGAGCGGAGTGTTGACGCTGGGTTGGGCATAGGGCCCGGGCTCCGGCCCACCCAGTGGCTGTGGGTGGGAACCCTCCTGGTTACCTCCAATCAGAGCCGATACTGAGGCGGAGGCAGGTCTATACTTCTCGACGTAAGGGACTGGAATCATCCCCCTCTTGCCTTCGCTGTCCTCCGCATTCCACCACTGCTCTTCAGGCTTATCCCGGATTCTCAGGATGTCTCCTTTCTTAAAGGGAAGATCTTCTTCATCATTCCCATTAAAGTCAAAGAGGGCTCGTACATACTCTGCCTCTTCCTGCCTGAGAATCACTCCACTACCCTGCCTGGATCTGGAAACTGGTTCTATCAATGTTGTAGTGTCCAAATAGTGTATTTTGTAGAATTCCAGTAAAGCAGGCAATGAATCAAATTCTTGATCTCCTATTCGGAGTCTGGAGGGGCTCACCCCTGGAAAAAAACAGAGCAGGGTATTATTTAAAGATATATTATACTGGAGATGCAATGTAGATTGTAAGCATTTCCCAAACACATTTAGTCAATATTTAATAAGAAAGAAAAAAACAAACAAAAAAAAACCTGTCTAGAATAAATAACTGCTTCTCCTAATAGTAAACTAAAATCATACTTTGTAGCTCAAACATTCCCCAGGAAGAAAGATGCCTATCACCACCTGCAGCAGAGTCAGAAGGCTATGATAGACCAACCACACCAGTCATGACATGCTCTCATACTGGATCAGAGACAGAGCAACATGGAGACTTCTTGCTCATTCTCCCCAAGTGTTCTGTTGCCATTCCATTTACAGGGTACAAACGGTTCAAGGCTGTGTTACAATCTTCTTTTCAACCTCAGGAAATGTAGCAAGCTCTCCTTTTTCATAAGTCACAGCAGCTATCCCAGAAAGAGGTGGGGAGAGCTTGATATCTATACCAGGATCATACATTCGTATCTTCACATCCAGAATGTACAATTCCTAATAAGAAAAAGTTTTAGACTATCTTTTTAATCTACAATTAATGACCTCAATCTCTCTTCTGACAACTAAAAAGAAAAACTAAGAAGCTAACTGCTTGAAAATCAACTCATAAGATCTTCACTTAAATAAAACATGGAAACTGGACTGTTCCCTTAGAAACAAACAGGTCTTGAAAAAAGGTAAATAAGGATGCTCAGGAAAATAAAGAAGTGTTAAAATCCTCAAACTGATGACACACTGAGGGTCCAAGAGAAAGGACGTATTAGGAATGCTTAAAATTCACATGACACAAAGATGTGTGAGGCCTTTGACACAGGGCATACTTTAAACTGCGTTCCCTCCCTATCCTGAGATTCTAGAATTGAAGGATAATAAATGAATGTATTTTGCTTCAAATAAGAAACAAAGTTTCTAATGAGGAATACAAACCTTTAACTTGCACTCTGCTAAGCACCCAAAATATCAGCATCTTAATTGGATTCTTTAGTATTTGGTTTCCTGATAAAGGAATGCATAGCTCTACAAAAACTTTTTCATGGAGTTTTTTTGTTTTTTGTTTTTTTTGTGGTACACGGGCCTCTCACTGTTGTGGCCTCTCCCGTTGCAGAGCACAGGCTCCGGATGCGCAGGATCAGAGGTCATGGCTCACGGGCCCAGCTGCTCCACGGCATGTGGGATCTTCCCGGACCGGGGCACGAACCCATGTCCCCTGCATCGGCAGGCGGACTCTCAACCACTGCGCCACCAGGGAAGCCCCCCAGGTTTTTTATATAGGTATATATACACACACACGTCATAAATACAGTTTTTGTTTGTTTGGTTGGGTTTTTTTGTTTTTTGTTTTATTGCGATACGCGGGCCTCTCACTGCTGTGGCCTCTCCTGCTGCGGAGCAACAGGCTTCGGACTCGCAGGCTCAGCGGCCACGGCTCACGGGCGCAGCCGCTCCGCGGCATGTGGGATCCTCCCGGACCGGGGCACGAACCCGTGTCCCCTGCATCGGCAGGCGGACTCCCAACCAACACGCCACCAGGGAAGCCCATAAATACATTTTTATAACTAGATTACTATAATTTTATACCTTGCCCCTTTTCCTACTGTAAAATAAAAATGTTTTACTTTATACAATATTCTATTATATAATATTTATATAATAAAAATTTCCCCATATTCTTCAAGAATATGACTTCTAATGGCTATAAAATATTCCCAACTTTTCACTATTGCAAACAATGCTGTTATGAGTGTTTTTGTTCTGGTCTACTAATGAACATTTTTATTACTTCCTTATGATAAATTCCTTGAAATGCAATTGCTGGATCAAAGGGTAAGAACATTAAGGTTTAGGGACTTCCTGGCGATCCAGTGGTTGAGACTTCACCTTCCAATGCAGGGGGTTCGGGTTCGATCCCAGGTCGGGGAGCTAAGATCCCACATGCAGGCCAAAAAACCAAAACATAAATCAGAAGCAATACTGTAACAAATTCAATAAAGACTTTAAAACTGGTCCACATCAAAACAAACAAACAAACAAACAAACACAACATTAAGAACATTAAGGTTGGACTTCCCTGGTGGCACAGTGGTTAAGAATCCGCCTGCCAACGCAGAGGACACGGGTTCGAGCCCTGGTCTGGGAAGATCCCACATGCCACGGAGCAACTAAGCCAGCACGCCACAACTACTGAGCCTGTGCTCTAGAGCCCACGCACCACACCTACTGAGCCCACAGGCCGCACCTACTGAGCCCACAGGCCGCACCTACTGAAGCCTGTGCGCCTAGAGCCCGTGCTCCGCAACGAGAAGCCACCGCAATGAGAAGCCCGCACACCACAACGAAGAGTAGCCCCCACTCACCGCAATTAGGGAAAGCCTGCCTCACCACAGCAGCAAAGACCCAACGCAGCCTAAATAAATAAAGTTTTTTTAAAAAATAATAATTACATTAAGGTTTATGTTGCCAAACTGTCCTCCAAAAAGTTTGTATAGTTTTACATTCCCACCAGTAGTTTATGAGTTCCTATTTCCCCCATATCCTTGCCAAACAGCAGGGATATCTCTTCTTAAATAACATCTTTGATTGTTTGATGTTTTTCATGTTTATTGACTATTTGTACTTCTTTTGTGAAAGTTACTTGTTCGATTCCTTTGTTAAGGGAAACAGCCAATCTACCCTCTCCACTCCTATTAAGACCAGCCCACCCATCTAAAACCCTTTGCCATTAATGCTGTGAAACAGGAACATTGTGGTAGCCCAGCTGTCTAAATCACTTCGCCACTCTAAAAAAATGAGACCAAATTATTTTGTTCAATGTTAGAAGAAAACACTTCTTCCAGAAAGACCAGAAAAAGTACATTTAAGATTCTCTACTGGAGACAGGTGAGGAGATAAACTTTGGAAGTTAATCAAAAGTCCTCAATACAGAATGAGTACTGATGAGTGCCTTCTCTTTTCACCCAAATGAAAGAAAGATCAAGACACAATTGAGAGGACAGATGCACATTTCTTATATTGCAAAAGTCCATCTGTGGAATTCATGGCTGTAAACTAAAACAAGTTAATAGCCCACATTCAATAATGTTGGCTGTCTCTCCAACTCAAGATGTTGAAATACATGCCCAAACCCAGGATTGTCCATCTATGGCAAACACTCATCAGACACCAGCATAATGCAACCCAATAGCTCCAAGTACAGGACTGGAGAGGTGATTTTGGTTATGACCATACCAGAGCATGGTGGTACTATATTCTGGAGTTTCTCTTCACTAAAGCGGATCACTGATGGGCAATTATTCCTATTCAAGTCTGGTCAACGAGATGCATGGCTATCTCACCTATCACCGGTAGGCTATAGTGAACTTTCAGGTCTGTGGAACTACGTTAAGGACAGGGTCAGTGTGGGCTCCAAGAAGACCTACTTAGCACTGCCTGGTCAAGAAAGCCTCCAGGGCAAAGTGGTAGGGAGAACCTTCACACCAGCAGAGCACCCCAGCTTAGAAAATGGTCCTGATGACACCTGGGAAGAAAAGCTCCCTTGCTAGAATTTACCCAACTACATTCCAAGGTACAACAGCTAACATGGTTTTTCACTAGTCACCCTTTTGGGACAGTGGTTGGCAGACTGTACGTACTTATTAAGTGTTAGATATTCTTTTTTTTAATATTTTTATTTACTTATTTACTTATTTATTTTGGCTGCACTGAGTCTTTAGTTGCGGCACGTGGGATCTAGTTCCCCAACCGGGGATCAAACCCGGGCCCCCTGCATTGGGGACATGGAGTCTTACCCACTGGACCACCAGGGAAATCCCATGTTAGATATTATTCTTAATGAACATAACTCTGAAGTGAGGAAAAGTTAAATCAAAATCTGTTCCCAGTTTGAGAAACTCACAGCGTAGTTGGGGATACAAGCATACACAGTGTGGTTAGTAAGCAAGGAGTGTAGCAGCATGTCTTAGGAAGACATTATTTTTTTCCCCTGGCTTTCACTTCCAACTGGAGACATGCTCTTACAAAAAATAGTGGCAACAACAAATTATGTTCTAAGATACAACAAAATCACAATAAAAGAGCAGCTCTTTCCGTTCCTGAACAGTTTTTTTTTTTTTTTTGGTCACACTGTGCAGCTTGGGGGTCTTAGTTCCCCAACCAGGGATCACACCAGGGATGGAACCCAGGCCCCCAGCTGTGAAAGCTCCGAGTCCTAACCACTAGACCATCAGGGAAATCCCCTGAGTGCTTCTAAGGTACTCTTTTCATTCTAAGATGGCAACTACTCCCTTTCATCCACTGTTATGGTTTCTCCAATTACTGTACTATCCCAAGTGAAATGTGTTTTGGTTTTTTTTTGGGGGGGGGAGGGGGTGGGATAGGGTTTAGAAGAACAAATAAGATGACTAAGCCAAGTCCCTTAAAAAGATCAGTGTGAGAATTCTGAAAACAAACCGTCAGTTCATCTGCCAGAAAGGTAGCCAGTTGGTTCAATTCACCTCTTGCTCAAATGCTTCATGATGTGAACTGGGCCCACTATTTTTTTTGTTTGATTTTTGCTTGGCAATTCCAACAGACACAAAAATACAAGGAAAACACCAAGTGAAAATTTACCTATAAATGCTTTACCTTTCCTTTCTTTAAAAAAAACTATATATATATATATATATATATATATTTTTTTTTTTTTTTGCCACGCCAAGCTGCTTATGGGATCTTGGTTCCCCAACCAGGGATCAAACCCAGGCCCAGGGCAATGAAAGCATGGAGTCCTAACCACTGGACTGCCAGGGAATTCCCTCTTTTCCTATTCTAATGACATTATAATTATTCCATAGAGGAATACCTGTTTTTGTGTACTGCTGCAGCAGTTACAGTTAGATATATGGGGCAATCAAGCTTTGCTGATCCAGAAGAAGAGAAGGAGGGGGAACAGAACATACATAAGCCCCAGATAAGCCCAAACCTCACCACAACTATGCGTTCTGGTTCCTTTTCCCTAGGTCATCTCCTTCCAACCACAAACAGCCAAAGGCAGGAAATAGAAGGGCGGGAAAGGAAGGAGATACAGTCAGTCAGTCTAGAGAACAGAACAACAGAGTTCTCATAGCTGGGACTTGGAAAACCTCGCTGACTTGTTTTACATTAAACCTGTGCTGGATTCTGAATGTGCAGTTATGAACACAATCAGAAATCAAAATCAATGCAGTCAGAAGTATCTTTTAACCAAAAGAGTTGTACATGCTCAACTCATTACTTCTAAGCATTTCAGCCCTCAAGTTACATCAGTTTTTACAAGACCACTCTCTGGAGGTTTTATGAAGAACACCCAAGAGCTCTGTGGGCTAACAGGCCAGGTCACTTCTGGCATGGGCACCACCACAGTGGCTCCATCATCAGCCTCTCAGTCTCACAGCACTTCCTCTTCTTTTCTTTCCTCTTTAATTCTCATTCCCTCTTTCTCCTCTGCCTATGCTATTTATAGAGGCTGCTTAAGCACTCTCACTACCTGTCCAATACAAAGGGCTAACAAGGCCACTGACTTCCATTTGAGAAAGTATACTGAAAAAAAAAAAAGGTCATGAAGAGCCTAGGGGCAAGACGGGAATAAAGACACAGGCCTACTAGAGAATGGACTTGAGGATATGGGGAGGGGGAAGGGTAAGCTGGGACAAAGTGAGAAAGTGGCATGGACATATATACACTATCAAACGTAAAACAGATAGCTAGTGGGAAGCAGCCACATAGCACAGGGAGATCAGCTCGGTGCTTTGTGACCACCTAGAGGGGTGGGATAGGGAGGGTGGGAGGGAGACGCAAGAGGGAGGGGATATGGGGATATATGTATACATATAGCTGATTCACTTTGTTATACAGCAGCAACTAACACAACAATGTAAAGCAATCATCCACCAATAAAGATGTTAAAAAAAAAAGAAAGTATCAAGATGTACGGTTTCCTAAGCAAATAGAACTTCCTAAAAATGGTGGATGTCAGCATGGTATACTTTGCAGATTCAGACTCACTAGGTTTGATGAATTCTATCTCTATTTCCTAGCTATATTAGCTGTTATTTAACTTCTCACAGGGCCTAATTCCTAACTAATAAAGTTCCTGAAAGTAGCTGGTATATTATAGGTGCCCAATAAAAAGCAAATCAGTTTAACACACCCCCCCCAAACCTCCGAATTCCTTTAGAAGTTTTCAATTCATCCCCAAATCCAGAGTCTGCTGCACTGTTTCCCAGAGAAGCTTCCACAGAATCTCAAGATGCTTCTCAAGAAGTTCCGTGGTCAAATTGGTTTGAAAGACCCAGTATCCAATACCTGCCTTAGAGTCATAATTTCACATGAGCATAGTAAAGGCTTGGAGAAGTTCTGCAATAAATAAACCCACCTCCTTTTACCAAGCAATTTTTTCTTTTTTTTTTTTGGTCTAAAACCTTTAAGTAACTCACTGAAGAACTTCTCCAGAACCAATGAATGGAGGGATACTCTGATATTAAAGAGCAAATCATGAGGACCAGATTTGAGAACTACAAAGATGAGGTAAACAAATGAAACAGATGCTGAAGGTACAAAAAGGCAGCAGTAAATAACGCGCAGTCCCCTAAGATCTCCAGAAGTGTCTTGACCCAGCACCACCTTGAAGAGGCAGTACAGTTATCACCCTAGCTTCTACCCCCACCCCCAAAACGAGGCAAGTTTTATGCTCCACTCACCCACTAGAGCAACAGGTGGGAGGCTCTGGGTTGAGCAGGTGACGGCAGGCGCCATCTTATTTCCATGTACTGGATCCAAGGTTCTTTCACGCTTCTTGATGCACCCCACCCCCCTCCACCCAGCACTTACTCCTTCAGACATGCTGTAAGCCTCTCAAAGCTGAGAACAGTTTTCCACCTTGCTTCAACTCTTCCCTCTCAACCACACAGATTAATATACCTAATGCTTACTGAGTACTTACTAACTGTATGCCAGTTCCGTTCCTAATACACTAAAACTCACTGAATCCTCGAAACAACCCTATGAGGTCACTATTACTATTTCTCCTCTTTCACAGATAAGGAAACTGAGGCAGAGAGACGTTAAAGAACCTGCCCAAAGTTATATGACTAGTAAGCAGCAGGTAAGGAAGGTTCAAACCCAGGCTTCAGAGCACAAGCTTATAACTACTTTCCCAACTCATATTTACTCAGTTTTATTGACTGTCTACTGGACAAGGTCTAGTAAAACCTCATGTTCCAAGAGGAAAAAACTAGTGGATCCATCAATGATTGCAAAGTCTTTCCAAGAGGTACAGCTGACAGAGTATGTGACCAGTAGACTTGACCAAGCCCTGTCCTATGGCCCTGGGGCACAGTCAGGTCACTTCCAGGCAATGGCAGCACTGGTAGCCTGTGGGAGCTAAACGCTTATGGTAAAAACAAGTTCACTGGTGGGGACTTCCCTGGTGGTCCAGTGGTTAAGACTCCACGCTCCCAATGCAGGGGCCCGGGTTTGATCCCTAGTCAGGTTAGATCCCACATGCCACAACTAAAGATCCTGCATGCCGCAACTAAGACCCAGTGCAGCCAAAGAAATAAATTAAATATTTAAAAAAACAAAACAAAAAAACACCAAACAGGTTCACTGGAAAAGGTTAAGAATACCTGGTCTATTTTGTCCCTATGCCTCTAAAATCTATATCTAAGCCATTCCATACAAATTCATCCTCTACATTATCTCTACAAAATACACTATATAACCCTAAACAAAAAGCTCATTTCCCGTATTCAATCTGCCAAATAAGGTTATTAAAAGCCTCTTTGTCACCAACTTCAGATAGCAGATGTGTATTCTCTGAACACTAAAGCCAGTTTCTTCTTGTCATTCTTTCCTTTTGGTCTTTAAACAGAACCTGGGACCCAGGGCAGCGACAGAAGTGTTGAGTCCTCAAAGTGCACTGTGGGATCTCAAAAGAAAACTGGCTTTGACAGAAAGGAATGCAGTGTAACAGTGTCCGCTCTCAGGTCACAATTCCTAGGTTCAAATTCTGGCTCAGTCATTTACTAGCTGTGTGACTTTGGGCAATTTAATCTCTCTCAGTTTCCTCACCTATAAAATGGAAATATTTTAATAAGTGGAGATCATAGTACTTTCCTCACTAGATTGTTATAGACAGTAAATGAGACAAGGCACATAAAGTATTCAGCAAAAAAAAAAAGGGGGCTTCCCTGGTGGCAGAGTGGTTGGGAGTCCGCCTGCCGACGCAGGAGACGCGAGTTCGTGCCCCGGTCCGGGAGGATCCCACAAGCCGCGGAGCAGATGGGCCCGTGAGCCATGGCCGCTGAGCCTGCGCGTCCGGAGCCTGTGCTCCGCAAGGGGAGAGGCCACAACAGTGAGAGGCCCGCGTACCGCAAAAAAAAAAAAAAAAAAAAAAAGTATTCAGCAAACTGCCTGGCATAGAATAACCAGTCAATAAATGTTAGCTATTAATATTGTATATGCCTTTCTAAAATTCAAGAAATTCTTCTGTGTGGTTTCAAAAGAATAAGAGCTGGACGGGGAGGGGGAGAACAGAGACTAAGTAGTTTTTATAAAGACAGCAACTGAATCAATTGCCCTATGTGGAAAACAGGGTACATGGCAGAAAGAAAAATGACCACAATGCCCATGAACTTTCCACACCCCATGCACAAACTTTAGCAATCCACACCTTCTCTCTTGGGCCAAGGATCTGACCTCATATCTGTTATGAAAAGGTGGAGCTCAATATTAAGGTAAGAGCTGAGATTAAAGTTGTAACACCAAGATGTGGGGAAAGCTCAAATAAAACTGCCTGCTGCTATTTCCACATTCTGCAACCAACAAAACACATACACAAACAAAGTGTTGAGAACTGAGTTTCAGGGACCGTTTGCCATCATGTCACTGCACAGTAATGCAAAACCCTAAACACCATGAAGGTGGTAAAAAGTAGAACATATTTGATTTAGGGTAAATACAAAAATATTCCCATCTCATGTTATAATGCTATTAAACCAACCAGACTGAGAAAGACCTCAGATAACTGTGGGCTTAAATATCCCCACGCTTGGGACGTCCCTGGTGGCGCAGTGGTTAAGTATCCGCCTGCCAATGCAGAGGACATGGGTTTGAGCCCTGGTCTGGGAAGATCTCACATGCTGCAGAGCAGCTAAGCCCGTGTACCACAACTAATGAGCTTGCGCTCTAGAACCCGTGAGACACAACTACTGAGCCCGCTCGCCACAACTACTAAAGCCCACACGCCTAGAGCTGGTGCTCCGCAACAAGAGAAGCCACCACAATGAGAAGCCCGTGCACCGCAACGAAGAGTAGCCCCTGCTCACCGCAACTAGAGAAAGCCCGCACACAGCAACGAAGACCCAACACACCCAAAAATAAACAAACAAACAAATAAATAAATTTATTAAAAAGGAAAAAAAGTTAAAAAAAAATCTCCACTCTCTTTTTAAAATTGGTATGTGTTAACAACAAAGAGACTACCCCATCTCCCCATTTCTGGCCAGAGTGAATAAATCTAAATTAGGACTCTCCTAAAAGGGCAAGTCTGCAAAGCCTGGTTCAGGAGCCTCCTAATTCACAGGAGATTGGCCTGGATCTCGTCTCAGCTGGTCAGGACGAAACTGCTTCAACTTGGGAACAGTGAGAAGGTGCTAAGACTCTTGGCGCTGTTACACAGATAACAACAACCTCAGAATTACTCTGTACCTCACAAATCTCAAGTACTAAGTGCCTAAATCTCCTTAATACTCCCCAAACAACTCCAATGGCATGGGTAAGAGAGTCACATCTCAATCTCTGGCAAGGAAGATCCGGTACAGATAATTTAAATTCTCAGAGAATCAGCTCAGCTGGGTCTGTTCCCAACATCTAGGAAGACTCAGGCCACAGTCCTCAAAGTTACTGAACAAGGAGAGGCCCTGGAGTACAGGACAGACAATGCTGAGGTCCAAGAAAAAAATTAAGTTCCATTCACTTTCAGGGAAGGGATTGTCTCCACTGTCTTATTTCTGAATTATTTCCTGAAAAAAAATCTTTCCTCCACTAATCGCTTTGAAAACTAGAACCCCCTCATTGTGGAGGGCAGTCTCTGGACGCTAAGATCTCTTGAACACAGTCAGCCGGTCATCAGCTTATTCTGGGCTGGTCACAGAGGGCTTTCTTTTATAACCAAGGCACTGAGCTCACCACCTTCGTCCTCCGCGGGGGAAGAGGACGGTAAAAGTATTTTGGAAAAATGCCCAAGAAAGGAAAAAGCTGACCGGTTTCCTGAGGGTGTCTCCATCCCTCCCGGCCAGTATGCGGTGACTTCCTACCAAAGGCCACCAGGGGAGTATGGCCAAACCCGGCTCTCCAACACTGCAGGAAATGTTTCAAGCCTAAAAAGCCACTTGTAGGATTATCGGATTCATTCCGGGCACCGCTGCCAAGTGATGCCCCCGCAGTGCCAACATCCCCCTCAGCTCTTTTGTCCCCACGTTGCTCGGCCCTGCTCTGGCGCTAGCCCCACCCTGGGGCCGAAGCAGTTCCCCTTCCCCTGGGCTGTCCTCCCAAGTCACACCCAGAGGCCTGGGTCAGCGGCTCCTCCTCCCCCACACACTCCCGCTCGTCCGTGGGAGCGAGCCCCGGCAGCTGGCTGTCCCCCGGGCCACGGTCACTCCGGCCCTCTGCCTACGTCCCTCGTGGGGCTCAGCTCTCGAGGAGCAGCCGGCCAGGCTGGGGAGTTACGCGGCCCTCACCCCCGCCCGGGGCCTCCCGTCCCGTCCGTCCCTCACCGGGCGGAGGCTGGGCGGGCGACGGTGGCACCGGCGGGCGCGGGCCGCTGCTGTTGATGATGTAGTGGGAAACGCGCGAGTTCTCGGAGACGCTGAGCACATAGTCCCCGGGGCTGGTGCTCGAGTCCCGCACCAGGAACACCCCGTGCCGCTGGCCCTGCAACAGCGCCACCGCCTCCTGCCGACTCAGCCGCCCCCAGTACCAGCTACTCCGCTCCTCCGAGTCGAAGTTGCCTGCCATGGCCGCCTCCGCGCCTACACGCTGGGCCGCCGCCGCCGCCGCCGCCGCCGCCGCCGCCGCCGCGCGCGCCCCTCCAGCCCCGACGCCCGCCGCCCAGCGGACCGGCTCGGGTCTCAGCCTCTCAGCAGCGCCCGAAATGGCGGCGGAGGCCGCGGGCCTTCCCCACCGGAAATGACGCGCTCCCTGCCCCTGGGAGGATGCCGGGAAGGGGACCGCGCCCGCCATTGGGAGAAGGGCAAGGCACGGCTCTTGCGCGCACTGCGCATGCGGCCTCTTGGGCGTCGTCGCGTGGCGGGGACCGGGATTGCAGAGGGTGGAGAGGCGGAGTCTAGGGCCGAGGGGCGGGGCCTCAGCTCCCAGTCCACTGATGGCCACACGGTTCTTCGCTTCTCCGGGTTTCAAGTTCCTGGAAGGCCCAGGTTTTCTAGGCAGTGACTAGGAGACAAAATTAGAGTAAAAAGGTGATGTGGCCCCAGGGCCTGAGTTCCCTGAGACAGTCTTTTTCTGATGGTTCCTCCAGCTTCTCCCCAGGCCTGCTAAAGTTCTTGTTTTCATTGATTCATTCAGCAAACAGTTGACCACATTTGTCCTGCTGGTGCAAAGGTCATCAAGGCTGGGCCCTTTCCTCACCGAATTCTCAGAACAGTAGGAGGAACCAGGAAACAGTCAATGACGAAGGAATAACAAGTGACACGATGGGGAAGGGACAAGGGGCTCTAGGAATACAGAGCAGGGCCCCCTAATCCACTCTGTAGAGGAATCCAAGAGGGCTTCCCAGAGGAGGTGGCTTGAGCTGAATATTGAATGGCAATCGGGGAAGAGCATTCAAGACAAAGGGAACAGAGTGTGCCAAGCCAGGTGGAAGTATGGAGTTCTCCTCTCCGTTGAGACTCGCAGTCATCTGCCCAGATCCTCTAAACTCTAATTGTGGTCATGGGTATCCTCTGCTCTCCCTGCCATCAAGATCATTTCTATCTCTGCATCCCATATCTATATCTGTATTCCTGTGACAGCCTGCTCACTGGTGTTCTATACTCTTGCTGCCCCTAATCGCATAGCACACATCTGCCAGTTTGCACTTTCTAAATTATAGCTCTGAGTCTGCTGCTACCCTGTGTAAAACTTTTAACAGTCTCCAGGTGTTAGAACTCCCAGTTTATCTCACAGTATGAAACGAGGCCACAGTCTCATCTTCACCGCTCCTACATGAATCTTGTGTTTCTTCTTTCTGGAATACCCTTCACTCCTTTTGGGATCTCAAACTCAAATGCCTCCCCTTTCTTGACCATCACATCACTCCCTCTCTGCATCTACAGCACAATGTCCATATTATCTCTATTAGAGTTCGTACCTCTTATACTGTAATCTTTCATTTACACGTCTGCATTCCATGCTAGATCTCCTCAAAGGCCAGGCATCTAGTGTAGGACACACTCCATAATCATTTCATAATAACAGCTAACAGGGCTTCCCTGGTGGCGCAGTGGC